TGCCTTCATTTTTTAATTTATTCTTTCTCCATAGTAATTATCATCTTGGTTTTAAAATTTTTTTACTTTTCTTCCAGTTTAACGATCATTTATATGGAAATTCTACAAAGTATTACATATGTTATTTTACTTTCACATGATTGAGCTGATCTTATATATTTGTACATAATTATCTTATGAACATTAATTTACATATTTTCATAATTTAACTTCCTCTACACTGTGATTTATTTTTACATTGAAGCATATATTACATCGCATTTCAAATGTGTTTTAAAACAAAAAGTGTACTGTTATCTTTCATGATACATATTAAAAAAATCCTCAAAATTACTAGCAAACAGAATCCAGCAACATATACAAAGAGTTAAACAATAATTACCAGATGAAATTTATCTCGTGTGCAAAGTGGATTCTGTAATACAGAATATCACAGTAAAAACAAGGCAAATGAATATTTCAATGGATGCAGAAACAGAAAATCATATATGCAACAAGGCACTTGTTTTGAGAATATATATAAACCTCGCATTAAGATATAAAGAAAAATAACCCAATTGAAAAATGGGCAAAGGATTTCAAAAAACATTTCTAAAATGAAGATAAGTAAATAGTTCATAAGTACATGGAAAGACACTCAACATAATTACTCATTAGGGAATTGCAAAGCAAATCAGCAATGAGATGGCACTTGACACCAACTTGCATAACTGAAATTTAAAAAAGAGAGTTTTATCCCTAGCACTGCAAAAAAAAAGGAGGAGGAGGAGGAGGAGGAGGAGGAGGAGGAGGAGGAGGAGGAGGAGGAGGAGGAGGAAGGGAGAATATAGCAAGTATTGGCAAAGATTTGTAGAAATTGGAACTCTATATGCATTGCTAAATGGATTGTAAAATGGTAGAATCACTTTAGAAAATAGTTTGGCGGTTTCTCAAAATGTTAAAAAATAAATTAACCAATAAGAGAGGATGTGCATGCATTGGGGCACAGAATATATGGGAAATCTTTGTACTTTCTCAGCAGTTTTGCTATGACTCTAAAAGTTCTTTTAAAAAACAAAGTCTTCTAAAAACTAGATTAGTGATATGATCCAGCAATTTCACTCATTAGTTTGTTTACTCAAGATAATAGAAAACATATATCCACACAGAAACCTTGTATGAATGTCCATAACATCATTATTCATAATAGCCAAACATCAGAGACAACACAAATGCCCATAAACTTATAAAGGGATAAACAAACCATTTTATTTGTGTGTGTGCATATATTCTACTTTATTAATATACATAATAATAATATTATACTATGTGAATATATGTATTAAATATATATGCATTCAAAAGTTCTAATGTTATTTAGCCATATAAAGTAGTGAAGCTTTGATACATGCTAAAACATGGATCAAAATATGCTGAGTGAAAACACTGGAATACAAGATAGCACATATTTTATGATTCCATTTTTTTTGACATGCCCAGAATAGGCAATTTCATACAGCAGATTTGTTTTTCTAGAATATGGAGACAGCAAGAATTTTTCTATGGGATTTCTTTGTGTTGATAAAAATAAGTTATATGGCATAATAAGGTAACTATATAATTTACTGTATATTTATTTCAAAATAGCTACAAGAGAGGAATTTGAATGTTCTCAACACAAATAAATGATAAATGTTTTAGATTATGGATATGCTGATTTTCCTAATTTGAGTATCAAACATTGTGTTCATGTATTGAAATTTTGCACTCTACCTGTTAAGTATATAGAATTATTTTTTGATAAGTAAAAAATGAGTTAAAATAGTCTAAACATAGTAGAAATGATCATACAACTCTGAATGTATTAAATGGCAATAAATTGAACAATTAAAAGTGGGTGAAATTTGTTATATGAATTATTTCTGTTATAAATATCTAGTATAGAGGTTGGGGTTGTTGCTCAGTGGTAGAGTGCTTTCCTAGCATGTGTGAAACACTGGCTTTGATCCTCAGCACCACATAAAATAAATAAATAAATAAAACAAAGGTATTGTGTCCATGTTCAAGTAATTTTTTAAAAAAATCTAGTTATAATAAGCTAAAAATAGAATTTACATAGAAATTATACTAAAAAGTAAGTGAGAGCATGTATTAAATGATTCAATTTTATGTTTAATCTCAAAATCTCTTAATTCTTAATACCATTTAGAATCAGCATTTTTATTACTATTTTAATGTATCTTTATATTTAAGGTAATGTCAAGTAAAAATAGACAAAAGTGTAACTTGCAAAATAAAATTTTAAAACGTGTCAATCATCATTTGAATTTTCTGGTTCCTGACAAATGGTCACTAGAGTAGATTGCTGGTTCCCTCTCAAACAAACAAAACAGAACAACCTAGTCCAACTCTTCTCAGATGGAAGAGTTCTTCTCACCTGGAGAGATTTTTGTTAAGCTATTTTTATACCTTAGTTAAATGCTGGATTGGACCTAAAATTCTGCATTTTCAGCAGGCTTCCATTTGATGCTGGTATTGCTGATTCGCCTAGCTCACATTGAGAAGCAAAACCTTAGGGGGAGTATACAAGAAAGAATATTTTGTATCAAAAGAACTATCATGAAAGCAAAGAGAATCTTTGACATTCCTAAGGCTATGGTAACTGTAGTGAGGGCTTGGCAGCAGCCTTGGATATAAAAGACAAGATACAGGCATGGGATGTGAGATTAAAGAAGAGCTTTAAAGTTTTGTTTTACTTTTTCCCAACATTGTTCTGAAATATCACTGCCATTCTATTCTTACTGAAAGCCATGTTTGAGCATCAACAGCTTATGACTACTGGTAAGTAATAATCAAAGCAGCTCCAAAGTTGTGATAGGTTGAACAAAAAATAGGTGTCACTGATTTCTGCTGAAGAGAATGGAAAACTAGAAAAAACTCTGCTCCCACCCTTGTAATAACAGCAAAATCGAGACAAACAACAAATTCTAGATTTTTCTTAAAATATCCAGAAAACTGGGGCTGCAAGGCAAGAAAGTAGTCCAAAATCCGTGGAGGGACTGGATTCTTACAAGAACAGATGAGATGATAACCATGGTGTACTTATGGTAAATACAACTAGAAGAATTGAGTTAGGGTGTTTGTTTAATTGATTGAGTCCAGTGAGAGTATTAAGCTCCAAGGGGCCACACTTCAAGTATCCTGCATTCTCTTGCAAGTTTCACTCCCTGAACTTCATCCACTGGTGACTCACAGAGATAACTGGAGTGAATCCGTAGATCATGTTCTCCATAGTACAGACCTGGTATAGGGACAAGGAAGACTCCTATGTACCCTTGCCAGGGTTGGATTGCATTAAGGAATTTGGTGGGCAATGGTGGGCTTGGAAAAAAAGCTCCAGATGATGAAGACTAAACTCTTGCAATGGAGTTTTTATCCTTTCGCTAATGTCTATACAGGATGTGCATTTGCTCTCTGGTGGATACAATTTATATCCATTGCTGGCTGACTGATTACTATCAATGTAAACGGCTAGTAAATTGCCTTTTTCAGATGAAAGGATATTACTTCATCTCTTCTGAGAAAAATAAATACTGGTTATAAAAGTGAAAAATCTTTATTATTTATTGAAATCCATAGATGGTAAATTAAGAGAAACACATTTAGGTTTGCTGAGAGTAGATTTTAAGTGATCCCCACCCCCATACACACATATACAATGGTAACCATGTAGTGACAGGTATATTAATTAGCTTGATTATGGGAATCTTTACAGAAGATATGCCTATATCAAAATACCACATATGCCTTAAAGATGTACAACTTTTATTTGTCAATTATGCCTCAAGGCTGGAAAAGAGGAGAAGCACATTTGGTTTATCATTATTCAGCCAACCAGCAATCTGCATTTAAAATAATTGTTTTGATGACACTATACCTGTTATCAAACATAAAGTAGTAAGATTCCATCAGAAAAAAAAAAAAAAAAAAAAACTGGAGCATTTCAGGTGAAAAAGTTCCAAGAACTTTCTGTGAAGTAGGGAATATCTACAGTTCAAGAGAAAAACTGAAGTCTTCCCCTTGCAGATGTAAACCAATCCTAGTTTGTGAAATTAAAATATGTATCATGAATACATCCTATTTTGGATTGTTCTTCATATAAAATGGGATTGAAGGAATTTGGGGGTATTTGTGATGATCACCATTTTTTCTCTTTGATTTCTGATTGGAATTTATCCTCAAACTAAGAAGAATCTTAGCTGTTTTGGAAACTTAAAATGTTGCATTCAACCTAGCAATTATTTCTACCCCTCTTCCCAATTTAGGAAAGTTTTTCAGATACTTACTTAATATGCAGATACTTTTTGTTCCAGTCTTGGCATAGTGATCATTTCTGTAGTTGAGGATTCTTTCATTATTCCTCCATCTTATATTCTTTTTGTTTTATGTAGTTCTGGGTATAGAAACTAAGGCCTCATGCATGCTAGGCAAGTGCTCTACCACTGTAGTACATACCCAGTCCCTTGTATTATCTTTTATAGGTCAGTTCTGATTTGTTTAAACCATAAATCTCCAACCTCTTCCACATGTTCTACATGTGTAAGAATTTCTACAACAAATAAAGAAATCTGACACTACAACTCTAGAGATTCAAGTAGTAGCACATCTTTTGAACCTCTTACACATGCATGTTCATGATTGTTGTTTAAACATATGAACCTCAAGATACTCAACAAGATGAATAGTCTTTAAATATTGGATTTCTCTTACATTAATGCATGATAGTATGTTTTTCAAAGAGTTTCATATTGAAATGAAGGGGACAGCTTGTCTTTAAAACCTTACAGATAGATATATTTCATGGTACTAAACTCTGTTTGAAATTTATTTTTCTTAGCAAAATAATATGCTTTTGGTTCTCTAAACAAAGGCAAAATTTTCTCTCATTATAGCTCAATTTGCCATAAGGTATCTTTTAACAAAGTAAAACTACTGTTGTTTACTCTTTTTCTTTGAAATAGATTCTGTTCCCTCTGAAAGATGGATAGTAAATTTTGACAAAGACCTTTTAGATGGCCTTGTTTTGGCAACACAGTTGGCAGCCTACTGCCCATTTTTGGTAAGTCATTTAACAGAACTTGGTGATTAAAGGCTGAAGCATAATATTCTGCAAATTTATTATTTTAAATGTCTTAGTTTTAATTCAAAAAGATGAATCTGAATGACTAGCATTGCCTTTTTGCTTATTTGTGCACTTTATTGCAATAATCTGTTACTTACAAATGTTAATATTTACATGAGTCCTTGCTGCACTACAGAAGACACTTGAAAAGCAGCAGTTTTATTCTATTAATAAGGATTGTTTCCTTTTCCAGATCAAGTCTCATTTTATAAATATGTACACACGACCAAGACGTCCTGAACAGTATCTTCACAATTGTCTGATTATTATAAATAGTCTTTATGAAATTGGCTTTGACTTGAACATACAGGTTGGTTCCTTTATAGCACACATTCTATATATATTTTATGAGTTTCTTTTTTGTTTACTCCTTTATAATCTTCCTTTTTTCCCAAATTTTAAATATAAATTGAAAAAATTCATACTTTTCTTAAAGTTTGGTAATTGAAACATGACTCTACAAAACCCTACTAGATGTTAAAAGTTATAGTATATAATTATTTGATGTTACATATAATATAATGATTATGTCTCTTCAAGTATATGTAATAAAAAGAACTTCTAGTCTAGGTGTCTGAAACCATAAGAACAAAGCCTAGGTACATTATTAACATTACTCTTTGTCTAAAAATGAATTAAAAGGAGAGGTAATTATAGGAATATAGATGTTGAATTGTCTTGTAATTTAGTATCAGATAATGAAAGTTTTCACTTTTGGTTTGAAATAAATATCTATATAGAGGTCACAATGGCAATATACATTTTCATTATATAAATTGAATTGCAAGTAATAATTCCATTTGACCTTTCACACCAAGTTTTCAATGGCAATATTCAAAAATATATTATGTATTTACTATCTTATGACCCCTTTGTTACTTAGGGATAATGAAATGATATAATAAATGATTCCTAACTTTGAAAAATATATAAATTTATTGAGTCATCATGATGCATATCTGTTAAAAGATGTTTTGCTCATTTAATCAAATATCAATAGGAATATTTGCAAAATATGTAGTAAGAATTCAGACGAAGGAAGAGATCAATGTGAGGTAGTCTGTACACCAATGACATTGTGAAGAAGGGATGACTAAGTTGGGATCATAAAAGGTAAATTGTATTTGGATTTCAAGGGGTGAAAGAAGTTGTTTGCTCAGAGGAAACAGCATAAACAGACTGGTTGTATGGGAAAATGATGTCCATTAAGGATATTTTGTGAATAGGTTTCCATAGTTGAAGTTTGGTGTTAGAGATGTAAATATAGGTACATATGGGATATTGGATATCAGCAGAAAAAGTCAGGAGGTTACTGTGTACATTATGGGAATAAAGGCTTTTACTTTTGGAACAATGATCAGGATGGACTGAGAGGAGAAAAGCTATCCACAGGGAGCACAGATCAAGCAGAATGTAATTTCAATTAGTCCAAGAGCACAGAAATTACTTTTCTAGTCATATCTAGTCATATCATTTTGAATGGTAACTGATAATAATAAGTTGATGTAAGAGAAATCATGAGGTTGTCTAGATCTGGTGGCTAGCTACAAAAGAAGAGCAAAAAGAAAGGACAGTTATGAATTTTTCATTCTATCTTCCAGAAAGATTGATGCTCAGGTCCAAATATAGTCTATATATAATTGTTCTTTATAATTGCTGGAGAAATGAGCTTTACAATTGCTTACTTTCTTTCTATGTTAAAGTAATTTGCATATTAAAGTCATTTTGCAACAGGCCTGAAAATTAAATTCTTTCCTATTGGTAGAGGTGTAAAGAGAAATTTTTGGTCAGAGAGTTCTTTTTAATAGTGCAGTTTTAAAGACAACATCTTAAAAAAGACCTTGGTTTGGAAGAATGAAATGTTTACAGTTTCCGTCAATTCAAAAAATTATTGAATCTCCTTCATGAATGATACAGGATAGACCCTACAGAGGTACATATATAGTTAAACTCTACCTACATCTTCAAAGGTGTGTTAGTCAGTTTTGTGTTGCCATGACCCAAATCCCTAACCAGAATGATTTATAGGAGGTTTAAAAGTTTATTTTGGCATTATGGTTTTAGAGGTTTAGACCATAGTTGGCTAACACCATGGCTCTGGGCCTGAGATGAGGCAGAACAGCATGGCAGACGGGTGTAGTAGAGAAAAACTGCTCAGTTCAGGTAGCCAGGAAGCAGAGAGAGCTAACAAGAAGGGCATTACATTTTGAGGAGAAAATGTAAACCCCAAAGGCATGCATGCCCCCAGTGACCTACTTACTCCAGCCATACTCAACCTGCCAACACTTATCACCCAGTACTAAAGTCCTTTCAAAATATTGATATATCAAATGGATTAATCTGCTGATTAGGTTATAACTCTCATAATCCTATCATTAGCTTTGGGGAGACATTTCATATATAAAACATAATGAAAGATTTTTCACACTAATAATAGGCAAATGAGAAAAGACTGATGCAAAGAAAACAGTTAATGGGGTAATAAAGAAACAATGTACTATGAGACTCAGAGGCAGGAAATCATTATAATAAAGAAACCAGGAAAAGTTACATGGGACCCAGTGTTTAAGCTGGCTCTTGAGACTTTGGTGGCAGTTCGCAAGAAACTTCAAATATCTTTGTTTAGAAATATAATCCGGACCGACAGAACAGGCCCAGCGGCCCGCCGACATGGTAGACACATCACCCCAATTGGAGGAGGGGCAGAGCAGAGCCGCTGCCCCCTGCCCGCACCTGCAAGATAGGCAGACCTGCAACCTGGAGAACAGGCCCAGCGGCCCGCCAGCGTGGTAGACAGATCACCCCTATTGGAGGAGGGACTCAGCCGTTGCCCGCAAGGTAGGCAGACCACGCAACCTGGAGAAGGGGCCCAGCGGCCCGCCGGTGTGATAGACAGATCACCCCAATTGGAGGAGGAGCACAGCCGCTGCCCGCCCCTGCAAGGGAGACTTTGCAACTATAAAAGAGCAATATAAATATATAGGGGGAAAATTCAAGAACACAACAGTTTCACCAAGCAGAAAGAAATGCGAGCAGTATGAAAAGACAAGGAACGAAAAGACCACAAGCAATGCAGGTCAATTCAACCTTAGAAGAGGTAATAGCTGCAGCAGATGGAATGTCGGATAAAGAATTCAGGATTTATATGCTTCAGATGATCTGGAGTCTCAAGGAAGACATTAGACAGCAAAATCAGACAATGAAAGATCACTTCAACAATGAATTACATAAACAAATACAAGAAGCAAAAGATCAACTATACAGGGAGATAGAGGTTATAAAAAACAAACAAACAGAAATCCTAGAAATGCAGGAAGCAATAAACCAACATAAAAACTCAAATGAGAATACTACCAGCAGAGTAGAACACTTAGAAGATAGAACATCAGACAATGAAGACAAAGTATTTCAACTTGAAAAGAACATAGACAACTCAGCGAGACTCTTAAGAAACCATGAGCAGAACATCCAAGAAATATGGGATAACATAAAGAGACCAAACTTAAGAGTCATTGGGATACAGGAAGGTATAGAGGTCCAAACCAAAGGAATGAGCAATCTGTTCAACGAAATAATATGAGAAAACTTCCCAGACTTGAAGAATGAGACAGAATCCCAAATCCTAGAAGCCTACAGGATGCCGAACGTGCAAAATCATAAGAGATCCACACCTAGACACATTATAATGAAGATGCCCAACATACAGAATAAGGAGAGAATTTTAAAAGCTTCAAGAGAAAGGAAGCAGATTACATTTAGGGGTAAACCAATCAGGATAACAGCTGATCTTTCAACACAGACTCTGAAAGCTAGAAGATCCTGGAACAACATATTTCAAATGCTGAAAGAAAATAGGCTACAACCAAGAATTGTGTATCCAGCGAAATTAAGCTTCAGGATGGAAGATGAAAGTAAAACCTTCCACGATAAACAAAAGTTAAAAGAATTCGCAGCTAGAAAACCATCTCTTCAAAACATCCTCGGCAAAACATTACAGGAAGAGGAAATGGAAAATAACAATGAAAACCAACAGTGGGAGGTAGTACAGTAAAGGGAAAAAATAATCAAAGAGGAAAAACAAACCATGTTAAGTAACATAAATAAACAAATATGGCTGGAAGAACAATCCATATCTCAATAATAACCCTAAATGTTAGTGGCTTAAACTCACCAATTAAGAGACACAGGCTAGTAGAGTGGATCAAAAAAAAAAAAGATCCAACAATACGCTGCCTACAGGAGACGCATTTGATAGGAAAAGACATACATAGGCTGAAGGTGAAAGGTTGGGAAAAATCATATCACTCATATGGACTTCGGAAACAAGCAGGAGTGTCCATACTCATATCAAATAAAATAGATTTCAAGCCAAAGTTAATCAAAAGAGATAAAGAGGGACACTACATACTGCTCAAGGGAACCATACCCCAACAAGACATAACAATCATAAATATATATGCCCCAAACAATGGTGCAGCTATGTTCATCAAATAAACTCTTCTCAAGTTCAAGAGTCTAATAGACCACCATACAATAATCATGGGAGACTTCAACACACCTCTCTCACCACTGGACAGATCTTCCAAACAAAAGTTGAATAAAGAAACTATAGAACTCAATAACACAATTAATAACCTAGACTTAATTGACATATATAGAATATACCACCCAACATCAAGCAGTTACACTTTTTTCTCAGCAGCACATGGATCCGTCTCAAAAATAGATCATATATTATGTCACAGGGCAACTCTTAGACATTATAAAGGAGTAGAGATAATACCATGCATCTTATCTGATCATAATGGAATGAAACTGGAAATCAATGATAAAAGAAGGAAGGAAAAATCATGCATCACTTGGAGAATGAACAATAGGTTACTGAATGATCAATGGGTTATAGAAGACATCAAGGAGGAAATTTAAAAATTCTTAGAGATAAATGAAAACAAAGACACAACATATCGGAATCTATGGGACACAATGAAAGCAGTTCTAAGAGGAAAATTCATTGCCTGGAGTTCATTCCTTAAAAAAAGGAAAAACCAACAAATAACTGATCTCACACTTCATCTCAAAATCCTAGAAAAAGAAGAGCAAAACAACAGCAAAAGAAGTAGAAGGCAAGAAATAATTAAAATCAGAGCTGAAATTAATGAAATTGAAACAAAAGAAACAATTGAAAAAATTGACAAAACTAAAAGTTGGTTCTTTGAAAAAATAAATAAGATCGACAGACCCTTAGCCATGCTAACGAAGAGAAGAAGAGAGAGAAATCAAATTACTAGCATATGGGATGAAAAAGGCAAT